ATCTAGTTATTTTAGCTGTAAAAAAAAACAGTCTGTTATGATGATTATAATGCAATCATAAAGTTTTACCATTTACAACATTTTGTTATTCTTATAGCGGCTAATGAATCGGACATTCACAGAAAATAGCTTACTTTTGTGCTGAAAAATAAGGTGTATGAGCAAGGCATTTATTTCCTGGCCAAAAAAAACGTCCCCAATTTTTGTCATTTTACTGACACGATCCCTTGGCAGGATGCTGTAGATGTTTTCCACTACGCACACTCAGGATGGATGCATGGCATTTACACAGTGTGAGTCTAATTGAATTACATTCCAATTATTTTGCTTATCTGCATCTGACGTTACTTATAGCCCTTGATATGTTAATTCCATGCATACATGCTGTTCACATTTTTTCAAAGGTGCAAAAGGGGCCGTTGTTATCACAGTTAGCCCTGGTTATCTTCCTCAAACTCTGATGAAGTCTATCAGAGGCCAACAAAATGAGAAAAAGAGAGGGAGAGCGTACGGGAGAGAGAGGCACCAAAAGTTCCATTGGTTTTGAGTAGATCATTGGGGCTCTTTATTTTTGCAACATCAAAGGGCTTGTGTCTGCTTTGATGTGGCAGCATGCTGTTTAAGGTACAGAGTGAATGGAAAGATGTCAAGCTGCAAGGTGCCTCTGTAGTTTGCGAGGAGGGCTCTGCAGAGCAGCAGATGAAAGGACCAAACAGGGTTTGATAATGAATGTCCAACAAGTAGCCCATCTCAGGCAGTGCTCACGCAGCGGGAGCCAGAGCTAACCTTCAACGACGCACACAACGCCCCACACTCCTCCTCTAACTACTATCGCTCACTCCCTCGCTCTCTCTTTTTAGCCGTCCGCTGAAAACTCCAGAGAAGTGAGCTTTAATCTTCTTGTCAATTAAAACTCAATACAAAAGCAACCGCACAAACACACAGATAAAGGCGCGTGCCTGTGCCTGCGACTGCGGTCGCAGATGCGCAGCAACACGCTCTGGCACTTCTTCTGTTCCATTCTCTCTCTCTCTGAAAGACATTTGATCTCTTTCTTTTTGACAGAGCATGTCTCTCTAAGCTCAGCACTAATTGGCTTCCAATTTCACCAAGACTCGACTCAATTAGGACATCGCTTACCAGCTTGCCTCTTCGGTCTTTTTGAAGCCAGTGTCCACCGCTGTGCTGACAGAGTTTTCATCACTCTCAAACAGTGTCAATTCACCTGTTTCTTTGATAGGCTATTTCAGAAAAAGAGTGCAAACTGGAAATGTCCTGCAATGGATGTGTGATGAAGTGTCGTTAGGCTGAATGCAACTGAAGGCTGATCAAACAGAAGAACAAACTTGTTAGAGAGAGACAATGTATTTTAATTGATTATTTTATAAAACCAGACATTATAAATTGTGTTGTCATGAAGGTGTGCCAGACAGAAATATGAATTTATGGCTGTTGTTACCATTTTCATGTGATGAAATAGATCACTGCATTCAGCAAACCACTTTGAGGGCAGACGAGGATCCAGCTTTAAAGATCTAGTGTTCATCTATATAGATGGGCTATTTTAGAGTTGTGAAAAGTGGATATTCATTTCATGTTCTCTGGGGTAAGTGTGGTATGAACCCCCTTACCCAAAATTCCCTGGTGTGCTGCCCTTCCAATCAGCCATAACCACTCAGTGACAAGTGCAGATGCCTGCCTGCATGTGGTCAAATAAGATCCTTACTGAAAATCAAGCTAGAATTCAGAACCGTCAAGAAGTTATTAATTAAATACTTCATGATTGGAGTACCAAACCTGTCAGAGACATTACTCGTGTACCAGTGTGTCCTGTAGTATTTTTCAGTGATGCTCCCCCGCTGCTGCTTCGTCGGTGCCCCGACAAAAGAAATTATATTTTACTGGAGTTGTGAATGTGAATTCATTGTCTGTACTGAATGTGAATTCATTGTCTGTACTGAATGTGCTGCAATAAAAAATATTGTGTGCCATGAAATAATGGCAACGTCTTATTATTGAATTGTCCTTGCAGGGTGCTGCATGCCTAAACAAACATACAATGCGACAGTGTTGTCCGGTTTACATACAAATGACTCTTATCTGGTTCTTTTATTGAATCAAAAAGAGCCCAGTGTAGTCTGATTCCTGAACGAATGTTTCATATGAATCAGTTCTTTTTAGTGAATCAAAAAAATATAGCACGACCAGTGTAGTTTGATTCCTAAACGAATGCCTCTTATGAACTGGTCATTTTTAGAGAATCAAAAACACTGAGTGTAACTGTTTTCTGAATCCCAAACTAATGTCTCTTATGAGCTGGTCAAAAAGATGATTTAGACTTGTTGTTTAAATCAGTCTTATGAATCCTTCTCAATAATTCAATCACAATTCACCAGAACAGTTATGAGTTGACATTTGACTCACTCACTGAACTGCAACTATCATTAGTTTATTTTTTATTGATGCCGGTATGGAAATGAAGCATGTTTTGTGCCAATAATTACTGACTGATTGTCCATATGACAATGAGTTTTTTATGTAATAAATGAAGATCCCGTAGCTATATATATTCTATACGAAACACTGATGTGTGATTCTTCACTTGTATACGTCCACTCATACATGATGTATCACCCACGAACGTATATTATAAGGTCACCCCATCATGCTGAAGGGACTGTAAAAATCATGCATCTCTTTTTGTCCCAATATTTACAATTTGAGAGCAAGCCAGTCTTACAAAATCTGAAATGACAAGAACATTTATGCAAAGGGAGCTCAATTCTTCTCTAAATTGGATATTAGCATTTCTGTCAGAACTCTCCTCAATGTTCCCCAGTCTTTGTGGAAAAGCAACATGACAACCCACACCTCACTGTTTGTCATCATTACATCTGTCATTGTTAAACCCATCTGAGCTTTATATTTTCCACTGATAAGAAAGATGACAAACTCATCATCACACATTAGGAAATATGAGATAAAGCAATCATGACAACACAACAGGCAATACAGGAACAAAACAGCTCTCTTTCTCATGTTTTCATTAGATCAAAGGCAAATTGGAGAAGCCACATATCTATCTCACACACACTTTAGGTATAAAGACGTTTTTGCATTGCTTTCAATTGTTTGGATATTATGCCAATAAGCCTGATTTGACCAGGGTGTCTAACTCTGTTTTCGTGACTAAAATCCTGAATATTTTTCCAAGCTCTGAAGATTTTTGAATTTCTTTTTTTTTTCTGACGAGAGTTTTGAGCACGTAACAGAGCAACTTCCGAGATAAAAAAGCAAAGTATAAGAATTCTGTCATGCTGCTCTGTTTCTCTGCTGAGACACTGGCTAATTGTGTTGTCACTGTCAGCACATGTCAGCTGGCCACTGCATGACTGTTCTTCTGTGTCCAGTGCAATGCCAGAAATGCACCAGCATGATAGACAAGTTCATTGAGAGATACTAAGGAGAGTAAGTCAGTCAGTTAATTTGGTGGAAGAAAATGCCCATTACTGTTGTTCAAAATTGTTTATGGTCTCAAATTCTACCTACCAGGGTTGTGCATCATTCAGAAATGAATTGAGAATGCCTTTTAAATTCTAGTTCCAGTTCAAATTGAAGTAAGAAACAGAATGCACAACTGCAGTTTAAAATTTGAATGAATGAGGTAGAATTCAAATTAATTGAAATGCAAAGAAATTCATGTATTTTTAACGAGAAAAACAAAGTTTTTAAATAGGCTCTGTCTTTTCCACTGTGGATGACAGAGGGATGGAGACATCATGCTGATCAGCTCTGGTCTCATCAAAGCCAGACAGCCCACCCACACAAGGGATGAACACCAAACCCGCACAGCAGCTTCCACTGCCCAGTTGACTCCTGTGTCTCATCATCAGAAGATGACATATAGGCTATTGCTAACACTCTAAATGACACTGTATGATTGCAGACTACATAAATAGTGTATAAAGGCAATAACTGATCAGTATTATGTACTGAGTCTATACAGAACATAATAATTCCCTCTATACGGCCAGAAGCTGTTGAGCCGACTAGCTAGGGAAATCAAACAATATTTAGGCTTAAACATTTGTTGTAACTGACTGAAAATGTTTCTTGAACATTATTGATAAATTATAGAAACACGAGCACTAGCCTAGTATTTACAAAAACAAACAAAAGACTATGAACATAAAACTATTATTTATGAATTTTTATTCATAAATAATAATTTATTCAAAACTATTATTTATCATTTACAGTAAAAAGAAAAAGAAAAAAAAAGACACAGTTTGCTTGCTGAGATAAAGTAATAGGTAAACATTTTCCATGATGCTAGGGTTCCCTCTTGAGTTTGAAATGTGGTTCTGCATGCCTTTTTATTACTAGAAAATGTGGCAAAACTTGTCTCTTGTTTACAGTCACGATACTATTTTGTCTGTCATTGTGAGCCATCGCTCCGATCATTTTTGTGGTTGTCACTCCCGAAACTCTGCAGTGTGCATGACCAGGGCAGACCCGGGGAGCGTTGGACGACATGAGCACCACCCTTGAAGTGTTTATAATTTGTAGCCTAATCTTTATATTGAACAAAAGGAGGTTTTACAGGAGAAAACAAGTCTCTGACACCTAGCCCTACACTTTTATGGGAAGAAAATTTAAGAAGAAGAAAAACAGTAGGCTGCACACACAATATGATTGCATCCAATAAAAAAGAACAACACTCTTTTTTTATTTATTTATTTTTTATTGAAAGAACAACACTCTTTGCAGCCTACCTGCCACTCAATTTACGCAGTAGGCTATACATAAGCAGCATATATTTCAAACTACATTTAAGACTTAAAGTTTTTAACACAAAACCACAACGACTTACTGTCGTGCAAATAAAGTGCCACAACACCCCTCTGTCTACAACAACCCTGCCGACAACAACAACAACACAGTTGTTGTCCAACTACATACAGTATGTCACCAACTTCCTGAAGATTCAGAGGAGAACAGCGCCTCCTCTTTCACTTTCAGTTCGGACGATCATTTCCATAAAGTGACCAAACAGAATATACCGACAGATAAGCCTGTGTTCGTGGTGTCTTCATATTCCAGCTTAGTCTATATAGATTGTCAATGAAGAATCACAGGCTATGGAATATTTAGCAGACAGACGTTTGTAAGCGTGTTTCGTTTGGGATATTAATTTCGAAAGTTTCAAATGAGACACAGATGCATTTGTTCTTAAACTATAGGCTATAGGCTACGCATACGCGTATGATTATGAATGGAACATTTACATCGCCTCTGTAGTGGGGGAGCATGACATTCAGGAGTTATTTTGGACCTTGTCTGGTAAGTTTTTTTTTTTTTTTTTTTGCCGTTGGGAAGTAGATTTATTCAAAACCATTTGCGGTGTAGCTACTGTTCCTATTTAAACTAAATTCACAACCATAATTCACTAATCTAGACATAATTAAAAATAATAATATAATATGCTACTGCATGGCCTATCCACTTTTGGTAAAAATGAGGAAACGAGTGCTCAAATTGACTCTAGGACCGGTGTTAATAGGAACTTGTGCCAATATTATATATCTCTTTGTGATGTCGGTCTTCTATGTCTCATCCCTTTAGTTGGGGTCTGATTGTGACTGTTGACTTTGAGAAAAGGCTGAGTTCCACTATGAGCACTCAGTTGATCCTAAAACAGCGAGCAGAGCTTCTGGCAGTCCTATGTGGTGGAGGCAGTGCTGAACCTCTGGACTGTGTTCTGGACTTACTTCTGGCTTGGGAGGTTCTTGTCTGGGAGGATTACCTAAACATACGAGTGGCGGAGAAACCCTTATGTTCTAATGTCAGGCAACTTTTAGATGTGGTGTATGATAAAGGAGAAGATGCATGCAGCTTTTTTTTGGCTGCAATTAACCAGATTTTACCAGAGGAGCAGAAGGCTGTCCTGTGTTTTGGGAACGGGTGTGCTGTGGTGGGCAAGAACAGACCAGACACTGCAACTTTAACGTTATTGGCTGACAGGCCAGTCTTAGTGACAAAGCTCAGAGATAATATTGACGGAGCTTTGAATGTTTTACTGACAACTGGGTGCTTCACCATCAAAGATTGTGATGGGGTGCAACTACCTGTATACACACCGTCACAACAGGTAACTTGATTGAATACTGCTTTAACCCATACATTTGTTTACTTCTTTGTATTATGAAATCTTGAAATTTAATGTGCCCCATGACTAAATTATGTTTTATTAACAAAGTTCGGGAGGAGCACGTTCAGATAATTAACCTAAATTAACACAAGAGGAGCGCACTCAGTTAATCAACAAATTGCCAAAATAAGAGGAAGCTATATACAGACTTACCACCATTCGTTGACAGTTTAATAGCATCCCTCCACCACCCCTTCTCCTCACTTCTAGTCATAACCACTCTTACAACAACCGGGGGGAGTACTCTGGGTTCGGGCCAAATTCCGAACTCGGAGCCCTCCCCCCGGACAGCACGCCAAATACACATAACCTTTACTCCACTTAATTACATGTAAGTGTGAACTTGTGAACTATCATATAACTTGCCCCATGACTAAATTCATTGTCAGTGACAGTTGAATTGCCAAACATGAACAATTTCCAAATGAAAATTGTCATATTGTGATATATCTCTCATACATGCTTTAGAAATTGAGCTATTTTCCAATAGTAATTGATAAGTTCAAATTAGTTTCACATATGACATTTCTTTCTTCCAAGCCTGTTCACAGTAAATGTCCTTTACTTGCTTAATGAATGTATATCCAGTGATCTTGTTGGATTGTTGCAGGTTCGGAGGCTGTTAGACCAAGTAAACTTTAAAGGGGAAACTGCTGCAAAGACCTTACTACAGTATCTAGAACAAACAGAGCCAACCAGACCAAACCCTGAAGATAAAGAAAGTCACCTTTCTGCTGGTATAAGACATTTCTCAGTCGTATGGACAGGATGTCTTTTTTTCATGTCTTTGTCTTTGATGTTGCATAAGATGCAAGAAATGGGCATAATTATGTCACTTTTATTTATTTGAATAAATGTTGACTTAAATAAATAAATGTAAAATAAATATAAATACATTTAGAAATATAAATAAAATAATAATGAATACAAGATAATACAATCATTTTTACATTTATTTTTTTTCTTTATTACTAATAAGTTAGCTTATCAAAAACATAAATGTAATTGTCAATACACTTTGTCCTCTACTTTACATTGTTTCTCCAGATTGTCTGCTGTACCAGACGAAGCTGCGAAGCTCTGTTGCTGCACAGTCACTCTTTCTTAGCACCTACGGTGGGACAGGACGTTTCTCCTTGGATGATATTTACACTGATGGACTTCTTGAAGTGATGGATGGTTCTGGTGAAACTACTACATTAGGGCTGGAGGATGTGGTAGGTCCCATAGGGAGTCTAAATGAAGATGCTGACACCATTCTTCTGTCTGGGGAAGCAGGAAGTGGCAAAAGCACACTGCTTCAGCGACTGCACTTGCTCTGGGCTAGAGAAGCTTTGCTCACAAACACTTTCCTGCTGTTCCCCTTCAGTTGCCGCAAACTGAATGCAGAGCACAGAGAGTTATCTCTGAAAGAGCTCCTCTTCCTGCACTGCTGCTGGCCTGATCGAAGTCAGGATGAGGTTTTCCAGTACATCCTAGACCACCCTCATATGGTCCTCTTTACTTTTGATGGGCTTGATGAATTTAAACAGGGTTTCACAGATGAAGAACGTCACTGCTGCCCCACAAATCAAGTGCCTATACATGTATTGCTTTTCAATCTGTTGCAGGGTACGCTAATGAAGGGCATTTTGAAGGTGGTCACCAGCAGGCCACAGGCTGTGGGCCCATCGCTGAAGCGCTATCTCCGCAAAGAAGTGCACCTGAAGGGTTTTTCTCCTAGAGGTATCAACTGCTTTGTGAAGAAACATCATAGCGACCCTGCTATAGCTAGACGTGTCATAGAGTCCCTCCAGAGTAACACGGTGTTGCTAGGTCTTTGCCACATCCCAGTCTTCTGCTGGATTGTGACCAAGTGCCACCGGGAGCTTCTGGGTGGTCAAGATGGTATTCCTCAGACCATCACTGATGTCTACCTCCTGGTCTTACAGCATTTCTTCCAGCGAAAGTCATCTCAGCCCCAAGGAGTCCTGGGAAAGGCCTGGTTGGAGGAACATTTGGACACAGTGTTAAAACTTGGACAGTTGGCATTGGAAGGCCTGGAAGCCTCTTGTTATGTGTTCTCAGGATATGAGCTGCAAAGAAATGGGCTCACAGAACAGGATGTCAGCATGGGTTTCCTCATTTACTGCAATGACCTATCTGTGACAGATTGCAAACACTATGAGTTTCTGCACATCACCTTACAATGCTTCTTCGCTGCTCTGTATGTTGTTCTGAATCGTAACAACAATCGCTCTGCTATCTCCAGACTCTTTCAGCCTCAGTACAGGCAGTTGTCTGGCCTGTCTCAAAGGTGTCTTGGACACTGTATTGATCCTTCAGTTGAGGAGGTGAAGACCCATGTGGCAGAGACACCAAACCTCCAGATTACAGCTCAGTTTGTGTCAGGACTTTTTTCTCAGCGGCACCATAATCTCCTCCTGGACTGCTGTCCTACTGCTGTGCGTGAACGCAAGTTCAAGCAGGTAGTGAAGTCATTGTCTAAAGGGATGCAGAGACATTTCAAGTCAATACCTCGTCCTGTAGAAGGGGAAAAGAAGAGCATGCATGCCATGCCAAGTTTTGTTTGGCTAATCAAGTGCATATATGAAATGCAAGACAACAGTATTGCTCAAGATGCCGTGGCTAAGTTGGACGTTGAACACCTGAAGCTCACCTATTGTAACATTGGACCGATGGAATGTACAGCGCTGACGTACGTGCTGAAGTACCTGCGGAATCCTGTTGGGCTTCAGTTGGACAACAATTCAGTAGGAGATGTGGGCGTGGAGCAGCTTCTACCGTGTCTACATATTTGTCACTCCCTTTAGTAAGATGAGAGATTAACTGATGGTTGTGTTTGAATTGATGTTTAAGCTTTCTTTTTTTCTTAATTTAAAGAGTTAGTTCACCCAAAAATGAAAATTCAAAAATCTACTTCTTGTATCATTTACTCAACCTTTTTTTACATTCCAAACCTGTATGCATTGTGGAACACAAAATAAGATATTTTAAAAAATGTCAGATTTTTTTGGTCCACACATTAAAAAAAATCAATGAGGCCCAGTGTTGTTTAGACCCCAAAATATCTTCCTTTCTGTTCTGCAGAAGAAACAGGGTAATGCAATTTTGGAAGATGTGAGGATAAATACATGATTTTCTAAAACTTCTGAATTTTGCAGTTTAAGGAACAATAACATATCAGATGAAGGAATCCGGAAACTTCTGGAAAAGGGAATGAAGTGCGAAAGCTTCCAAAAAATAGCGTGAGAATATCAAACAACTAAATTCTGCATCTTATAAATAATGATAATGCATATTTTATTGTTATACTTATACAACCAAGTTTTATTACTACCTCATCATTTCATCAGGCTTTTCAACAACAAGCTCACAGATGCTTGCACCCAACACTTTGCTTGGCTGCTAAAAGCAAAGCAGAACTTCCTGGCTTTGAGGTCAGCACTTACTTTATCTAAGGTTATTATGTTAGTTCTGGCCTATGGGATGATGATCATTCTAATCATACCAAATATATAATTACTTTGTAGGCTTGGAAATAATAACATCACATGCGTTGGAGCAGAGCAGCTTGCAGAAGGCCTAAGCTACAACCAGTCTTTGCAGTATCTGGGGTGAGGTCAATGATGAGAAAGAATACTGTGCTCTAATGTTCCAATTCTGTGGCTTTATTAAATTATATTTCCATTCTGACTTCTTATTTTCAGATTATGGGGTAATAAAATTGGGGACAGGGGAGCTGAGGCATTGGCAACTGCGCTGAAGAATAACACATCGCTAATATGGTTAAGGTAATCCTGTAAAATCCTGTGTTAATTCTGCATTCTATGAAAAAAAAAACCTTGCAGCTAGCTAATGCTAAACGGTGGAAATGGAAAGGTTGCCCAGTCAGATCAAACTAAATTTGCAGAGCACTGAGCTACTCTACGCAGCATGTGTTTCTTTTTGTGTGTAATAATAATGTTTGCGTTGGTTTGTTTCAGTCTGGTGGATAATGGTGTGGGCAGTGCAGGTGCATGTGCTCTGGCTAAACTCGTCAGTCAGAGCAAAACTCTGGGGGAACTGTGGTGAGTGTGACTTATTTAAACTACTTTGTTTAAAAAAATTGAATATATATTTAATTTTTAATTAAAAAAAATGTCAGAATTACATGCTTTCTCTCTATCTTTCTCACTCAGGCTGAGCAAAAACTGCATCAGCAGGGACGGAGTTGAGTGTCTGATAGAGGCACTGAAAATTAACTATAGTGTTAAGGAAGTCTGGTAAGGTAATTTTCCAGTATTTTAGCTGACTGTGTGTGCTAGTTTTACTCAATAAATGTTCATGTGTTTTCTTTAGTAGTGGTTTTGTATGTTGGTTGTAAATACCTAAATACCCTTTAGAATATTTTTTATGAATTCTGTCTGCCAAATTAAAAAATTCTCATAACTGTGTCAACAAGTGAAACCAATAAAACCATACATACATGCAGTCAAGAATCAACAGAAGTGTTAACAGAAGGGTTAAACTGTGTTCCCTGGACAAATGTGGGGCATGTTGTCACATGTTTTTTTTTGTCACAAGTTATACATTTGCATACTATTTATTAATTACAATAGTTTTTTTGCCAAAACAATAGTTAGATATTTTTTAATGTGTGTGTGCTTTTTGTGTGGAGTTTTTTTTTGTTGCTGTGTAATATATTGTTCATAGTGGTTCAACTGTTTAAAGGCCTGTAAACTTACCTAATTTAATGTGACAACATGCCCCATGTAATGATTATCAGTTATCATGCAACTACTTTGGGACTTGATTAATCTTAGTGCAAACATAATTTCAACTATACTTTATTACATTAATACCCATGCCTGGTGAATGGTTTGTGCTGTGAATAATATTAATGTCCTTAATACAAAGGCTCTTTGCTTTGTACTCTTAAAGGCTGAGACAAAATAATCTGAGCCCAGAGGAAGAAGAGGAGCTGAGCAAGCAAGAAAGCAGATTGACCTTCTGAGGGCAAGAAGGCTCTGTAATGCCTGCCACCAAACTCCCAAATCCAATGCTCATCATTTTCTTGAAAAAAAAAAACAACAACAACAAAAAAAAACTTGCACACAAGCAGGAAGCCATAGCTATTCAAAGTGCCTGTCTTGTAAATGGCTGATCTGGACTGGAGTAGAGGTAGCTTAAAAGCTAAATATCCAGGGTCCAATCAGAGCGTCAGATGGGGCCGGAGAATGACTGGGATCCTCTGTTACCATTGTGACGTGAATGTGCCCCAGCTTGCTCCATCGAGACTGTCAAAAATGTACTCTTTGTAGAGGAAAACCTTAATAATAAGATGTAAACCGCCGAAGCAGTACACAAACTGAACTTCTACACAGAACATCAGGAGCATACACAACATTTGTCTGACTTTATCCATTGAACACATCCTTAGTTTTCATTTATGGTAGGCTACATGGTATTTTTTTTATATGGGAGTTTAATTTTTGTATTGTATATTCATGGTCTATACGTCTGTTACTTGCAACACAGCTTGTCAGGGTTTGTTATGATGTTTTTAAATCCCTTTAATTACATCTTCTATGACTTATATTTCATGAAAACCATATATTTATTTGTTTATTCTTATTCACACAAAATTCATTAAACAGCTGTTACTGATAAAGGTTTACAAGAGCTTCATCTAGGATCTATGTGAAACATGCTGTAAAAGTAAGCATCAGATGTATATGCTTGGAAGAACAAAAAGGAAATAAACTGCAGTGTACAACCTGTCACCCAGCCAGTTCCTTAAAAACTCTTCAGCCAAACTACTGGAAAACCCCAAAAGGCGGGGCTAAGTAAAGGACAACCGAAATGACCAATGAGATTTGAGCTGTCACTCACTGTCCAATAAGAGAGCAAGTTTCTCTCCAATAAAGTAGCACGTTTGGTTTAACCGTCACATACACACACAACCACACTGTAAATAATACTCACACTGATTTCAAATGAAACAACGGCCTCGGTTATACCAATATTACCGGATTTTATTCGAGTTTCCCTCATCGTTTCACCCAGGATTATTACCAGCGTGTTTAAAGTGCACGGAGGAGGCGACTGTCCCTCCATTAACCGGTAGTATTGCGGAGTGGAGTCAGCGCTGGCTTCAGCTGAGCCCATCCGACAATGTCAAATAAACACCATCATCATCATTACTAACAGCGCCACGAGAGTTTCACTGGAACAATCTCAAATGCCATCGAAGGCGGACGGGTGAATACCGGGATATTTAAACGTCAGGTAAGAGGAGTCTGATCCGCTCATGCTGATGTCACCTGTTTACCTCTACAGACTGACTCTGACACATGACTAGCTTTAGATCCGTAACTGTAACCAGAGCTGCTGATTATACATGACAACACAGGGTTATCCAGCGATGACATTATCTCCAAACCGAGCTCTATGAGTAGGAATAACCGTTAACAGAGAAGCTGATAGTTTGCCTTCTGTACCTGGTCATTGTCATTTAGTGTAAGGCCTGTCCATCTCTACTGCATCGTTTTCATCCGGCAGTCAGAGTCTAGAGAAAGTACATAACGCTGGTGTGATATTTACATTGGGTGTATTACATCATGGATACAGTGATTGAACTTACAAAAGCCGGTACATATTGCTAATACATTGGCATTACAGGTGGGTGTTCCTGGCTCTGCATGCTTCCTATGTTGACAAAGCATCAACTTCATAGATCACTGTCTGTTGAATATCAATGCCTGTGGAGGGAGAGACAGTCAGCATGAATGTTGTCGCTCAAAGCTTGAGAGTCCCTCACAGTGATCATGAGTATTGTTTAGAGCTGTGGTTCTCAACTTTTTTCTTAGGGTTGCCCTGTTTTACATGTCATAGGCTATGCTTCACACTCACAGCTACAAAACAACAACAGCAAAACAAGTACCATTGAGATGAATGGGAATGCTAACACTATGCTTTGGCATTATAGCCCTCCTTGATCCATTCACATGGAATTAAGCTGGCTTGACGACCTCTTAGAATTGGAACCCTTTGACTTGTTTGCCTAGAGAGCACTAATATTTACCAGAACACTGATCTCTGTATGGATAGGCTCGGCTGTAGACGTTAATCAAAACCGTATTGTCATTTTTAGGATGGGCCAAATCACTGCCGAACCACCTAAGCTGCAGGATCTTTCTTCGCTGCTACATCTTACATTTCAGACAGAAGTAGATGACACGTGCAATATCAGTAAAAGGTCATGCAGTAGAGCATTGCCTGTCTCGTCTTTTATTCTTGCTATTAGTCATTATGCAGTAGTGGTATGTGTGCACTATTATTGTGCATACAGGAAGCTCAGAGTGAGATTTAATTCGCTGTGTGAATTCCCCTGCTGCTGGGGGAAAAACCAACCAGTCACACAGTCTCTGTTGGTGCAAGTGTGTTCGGCTGGTTATTCTAATATCGTGGTCATTGATGAGGTATGCCAGTTTGCCAAGTCAGTGGTTGTCATGTGATGTTGCCTAAAGGAAAATTTCACCCATAAATGATGATTCTGTCATCATTTACTCACCCTCATATCATTTCTAAACTGTAGCACACAAAAATTTCTGTAGTACACAAAAGAGGATATTCAAAAAAATGTAGAATATTTTTTCTTTTTTCGATATCTTTCATTGTATGAACAAAAGACAGACTTTTTCAAAATATTTTCTGTTGTATTCCATAGAAGAATGATGGTGAGGAAATGAGTCTGATGACATAATTGGGATGAACATGAACTATCCCTTTAAGGACCCACATTTTAAATTGAATGCCAAGTGGTAACACAACAGAGTAGCAGAATTTTTCAAACACAAGTATAAGTAAGTAAAATGGTTGTTAACCCTTTCATGCATAGAGGTCAGCTATTCAAAAAGCATTTTCTTGCATATGAATAGGTATTGATGGCATAGTTGCACATCAGCCTCTACAGTGGACCCATATGCATCATCCTATACACTGCCACCAAATGGCAAGCCGTTGTACTGTATGTCACATTTTTTTCTCCAAACCAAGATGGCCGAAAGCCAGTCAGAAATGCCAAGTTGCGTCGGGATGTCCATCCATTCCTTCTGTCCTAGGAGACTCTTGCAGGAAAAAAAAAATGTTGTAGCATCAATGCATGTTACTTGTAATCTGTTACCGTTACCCCTGACACTGCTCATGTCAGATGAGATTGAAAAACACAAAGGAAAACATCAATAGATGAATGTAGATTTCAGTCTGAGGTTTTCTCAGAGAGGAGAGCTAGAAATGTGTCCATCTTGAACATCATCAGAATTATTAGCTAATAATGGTAAATCGACAAATCGGTAAATAGACTGGCTGGAGCGTCAGCGTTATCTACATAATCTGAGTTGGGTACCACTTTCCACAGAGTTGTACCTTCACCGGTTGTAGAGATCTTTGAAGGAATAACGTCCTCATGTTCTGATATCAAAGACACGAGAAGTTCAACTTGTTGAATTTGTTCTCTGTCTGCTGGTCGAAAGGGAACGAACTCAATTGTATTTGCAATATTTTGCGTTTATATTTTTTGTATATATTTTATAGTTTTCACATGTTTTGATATAATTTTATTAATTGGTTTGTTAAATACACACAATATTGCTGTGTTATTACTGTATTATGTTTAATAAAGTATCTCTTCAGTTACAACCAAATAGACATCTAAAAATCTCTTTGAAAATGTGTAAAAAAAAATCTTGTTTTTCATGCCCCATAAGAGCATTAAAAACACAGGGGAAATCCTGACTCAGTTTGTCATAATTCTTGCATGAAAGGGTTAAACAAAAACAAAGTCAATTGTACTGCACACACAGGACCAAAAAAGTTATTATTACCATATAATTTAGTTGAAAATCAATATTTTTTTAATACACAAACAGAATAAGTGTGATTTTATATATTTTTATTTTCTAGGCCTATACAAATTGATTTTGATAGTTTTATGCTCTTGACAGCCGATAATTAATCACATGAAACTGTCAACTGTCGGACGTTTTGGTCACCACAAACTCATGTTTATTCTCGTTCTAAGTGAGCCCATATTATGTAGTCTTGGTCAAATTTTCTTTACCCTGATATGTTTTGGTCATGGTTTTTGAGGTTAAGGGCATGTCTACTGGTCCATTTTGAGCTTCTATAAATGACAGATGCATTTTCACCAAAATACCTTTTGTTTGGATGCGATGCACTGCATTTTTTTGTCAGGAACAAAAATATGGGAAGCATTTTCTCCTTCCTTTGAAAAGGTAATATACGTATTACTTTCTACTATATGACTATAACTTTTTGCACAAGTTGCATAGATGCATTTTATTATTTGCATTTCACATAGTGCCATTTTTCCCTGCTCTCCGAAACCCTGTCAAAACAGACGTGTGACCTATTTTTGGGCTGCGACCCACCAGTTGAGATCCACTAATTTAAAATATGATTTAAAAGATGTTGTGCCATTTTTCAGCACAATTTCTTCCTAAAAAGTTAACTAGACTAAACCCGTGGAGGCCTAGATCAGTGGTTCTCAGCGTATTTTGGGCCAGAGCCCCCTACCCATTATCTAGGTCCCTCACCGGCCCCCATCAAATAAAATGTAGACTTCCCTAAATAAATTTTAATGTTGATGATTATTCAGCATTTTTTATAATTAGGCCTATTATTATATTTACACCATTCAAATGTTTGGGGTCAGCACGATTCTATATTAAAAGAAACTGATACTTTCATTCAGTAAGGATCCACTAAGTTAGACTTGTTACAAAATCTTGTTCAGGAAATATCCATAGGGGAATTTTTACAGAAGGATTTTCAGTTCTTCCTTTCCTGAAACTTTTGAAAAGCTTTTTTTTCTACTGTGATTTTAACTCTAATTTTCAGTGAATGTTTTTAATAGAATTTTAGTGAAAAATAATCATATTTATCCCTCCATTAGAAGATATCCTGTTTTTGAAAAATAGATTGAAAAATAGATTTATCATTTCATATCTCTATTTCAATCTTTCAGTTCATCAAAAAATTCTGATTAAAAAAACACCTCCCATTCCACATTTTTATAGCACAATCATTTTCAGCTAATAATAATAATCATGGTGGGAGTGGTGAAACCGCTAGTGTGGCGGTGCGGGCATGTTACGGATACGTGGTGTAAATTTTTTAACAATCAAAAAGCATGTCTAATTAATTGAAATAATGTATTGTGAATCATTGAACTTATACAACATTTAAAAAAAATATATGAAAAAAAAAATTCACCCTAATTCTGTGTTCTGTTTTTTCTGGTAATAAAATGAAGACATAAAACACAAATTTTATCATTTATCATCAATTTTAATCATATGAAATTAAATAAACTTTTTGTCAAATAACGTGCTGCACAATGAGCTTTACTGTTAAAATTAAAACATGGATTATTCCTTAAAAAACTGAATTTTGATGATAATTTATTTGGATTAGTGTTAGTATTATTACATTGGGACATATCTAAATTCTACTGTACAACAGTAATATATTTCTGTCAAGTTAAACCGAACTTTTATTTTGACGGGTTGCCGTGAAGACCTTTTGAGTTTCTGTGTGTTTATGTCATGATGATAGTTTTTCTCAAATGAAGCGGTTAAATGATCACGAAGTGACTTTAGGAGTGGATCTAGAGTAGGGCTGGGTATCGATTCAGATGTTCAAATTCGATTCTCGATTCGATTTCGATTCTCGATTCGACTATAATGAATATAGATGTAATACAAATCTCAGTCTAAATATCAGTTATAATTTTTTTGACAATTTTCTATTACATTGATCTCACCTAAATGTTTGTTTTTACAATGGGGTAATTTTTTTGTTAAGAGTTTATACAGCACATGGAAGCTTGATTTCAATCTTTGAATTAAATTGAAAAAAGCAGCACAAATAAATACAATAGAATAGGCCTAAAGACACAAATAAAGAGACATACAAAGAAAAGTTTTTGGGTAGGTCAGAAATACTACAGAAACTGAATAAAGTAATCCAATGTAAAATAACACTGGATAGTCTTTTAGTCCTGACTGAATTAAATACATAGGCTATTAATTCTGATTCCTTACAATTAATGCTATATTATGTTGTTTTGCCAACAAAATTAATGACAGACACACATGGCTGCGTTCACTGTAAGAACTAGTGCACGGATCCATTACTGTTTACTGTCTGTCACACGCGTTTTATGTAAGCAATAAGGTACGAGAGGCTGTGCTGTATCGTGAATA